GGGACTCGATCCCGGGACTCCAGGATCATGACCTGAGCCGAAGGCAGTCGCTTAACCAACTGAGCCACCCAGGCGCCCTTAAGTATGACATTTTAAAATTCAATTTAGAAAGGAGGCACACAAAAGAGAGAAGCACTTACAACCTAAATGAGAAAGGACACACATCAACAAAATAACTCCCCAAACAAACCAACAATTAAAGGGAATCTAAGGAGCTAAGTGTAGTATTGTAATTCTCACCACGATGCTGACATAAACCACCTTAAACATGTGGTGCACAAACATTTTAGACTTTTTTTTTAGGCTAAGTACCTAGTCTTTCTCTCATATGTCTAAAATGCGAGATTCAGTTCATAATACCTACCAGCATTTGCTACAAGCAAAAGGGGCAGTTTTCCGCGTTCTATATCATCTTTAATCAGCTTCTCCAGGAAGGCAACATCCTAGATGAAAAGGCAAACCACAAAAACATGAAGCAACTAGCATAAAAGCTATACAATAAAAAATCAGAACTTTCAAAAGAAGCAGATGACTCTCAAAAATTAATCATGCAAATCAGTAAATCAGTTCTTTTCTTTTTTTTTTTTTTTTAAAATAGGCTCCACACACAGTGTGGAGCCCAACACGGGGCTTGAACTCATGACCCTGAGATCAAGACCTGAGCTGAGATCAAAAGTCGGATGCTTAACCAGTTGAGCCATCCAGGTGCCCCTCAATTCTTGACCATTTTTCTATTTCCTCTTATCACAGAGATAAAAATCAAATAGTTTCCCTTGAAGACTAACTACAAAAATCAGTTAAATGAGATCAAAGTTTAAAACTGCATATATACGGACAAATATTTCTCTAGTTTTAAATACTTATGTTTAAAAAAATATTCTCTCAATCCACCCCCCCCCCAAATAGCCAAAAATTTATCTCTAATATTACTCATTGATGTATCCAAACCAGAAGATCAAACTACCTTGGAAAAAGAAACACGGAACCCTAAAACCTATCCCTTTTGTTTCTGGCTTCAGTATGGGAAGGCTTAACACTTGAATGTCTAAAAATAAGCAGAATAGGGGGAGGGAGGGAAAAATAAAACAAGATGAAATCAGAGAGGGAGACAAACCATAAGAGACTCTTAATCATAGGAAACAAACTGAAGGTTGCTGGAGGGGAGGTGGGTGGGGAATGGGGTAACTGGGTGATGGGCATTAAGGAGGGCACGTGATGTAATGAGCCCTGGATGTTATATAAGACTGAGGAATCACTGAACTCTACCACTGAAACTAATAATACACTATGTTAATTGAATTTAAATTAAAAAAAAATTTTTTTTTTTTTTAAAGAATTTATTTATTTGACAGAGAGAGACACAGCCTGAGAGGGAACACAAGCAGGGGGAGTGGGAGAGGGAGAAGCAGGCTTC